CATTTAACATACATACATATATGATAAAGAAAGTAGAAATGTAATTCAAAGATGATTTTTCAATCTATGATTTCCACCTCTTGTCTAGAATGATCTGATCTTGTTTTCCAGTATATCAAAGGCAGCATAATAGAGTAAGGGGGAAACTTGGACTGAGCATCAGAAGGCCTAGATTCAAGTCCCAATTCTTTCATTTACTAGTAGTATGACCTTGGGCAAGAAAAAAGATTTCACATCTTTTTTTTTTCATTCATAAGTGAGGGAATTGGACTAGATAGTTTTCAAGGCCATTTCAAACTCTGACCATCTGTGGCTTTACATTAGAAAATAGAGTTTTATAGACATTTTTAGATGTTACTATTAATTTTATCATAGGTTATTGTGGAAATAATTACTTCACCAATTACATTTGCTTTTATATCAGAAGCTATCATTGTGACATAGGCTAGCACAAGTCTGGCTATGATATTCCCGTTTTAAGAATATTAATTGCTCTCTGTTGCCTTTAGGATGAAAAATAAATTCCTCAGTCTTGTGGTTAAGTCTCTCCATAGCTGGCTCTGACTTTGTTGACAGTATCTCTCCTAGTGGAAATTAAGCTCCTGGATGGCAATGGCTATTTCATTTCCATCTTTATATATCCATAGAACCTAGGACACTTACATGTTCATCTGTAATGGACATAAAATGTATTATTATTGAGTTGAATTGAAATTCATTTTGTACATTTCTCAAGTAATAGAGTAGTTGTTGTTTTTGCATATGACAATACATTTACTAATGAATCATTGGATTAGAGCTGAAAGGCACCTTAGAAGTCATCTAGTCCTATGTCATTTACAAACAAAGAAACTGAGTCTCAGGGAGATAAAGTGATTTGCCATAAGTTCATGTAAATAATGAGCATTACAAATAGGGAATGAACTCAGGTCCTCTAACTCCACTGTACCACAATATTCTTTGTCATTTTTCTTAAATCATAAAATTCTTAAATTTTAAAAATGGAAAGCTCCTTCAAACTCATCTATTCCACACATTTTACAGGTTGAGAAATCGAAGGTCATAGAGATTAAATTATTTCATGACATTACATAAATTATAGTGGTAGAGTATGGGATCCCAAATCTTTTGATCTCCTCTCCAAGAGACACTTCACTACACCAAACTACTGCTCTCCATTAAGATGGATGTCTTTCATGGTCACCAGCAACAAAAACAGGAAGTGAATAAACTACATTATTTTCATATGTTAGTTGAATAAGGTACTTTAAAAAAATAATAACCCAACAGTCTCTTCTCAGTTTGCCTGTGAAGCTGTTTTGTTTTAGAACTTCAGTGTTGGAATCTGAAAGTGATTTTCCTCTAGTTATTTGAAATGTTATTGTGATATAATGTTTAATTCTTAGTTCTGTTAAATAGCACAATATCAGTCATTCTTGATTTATTCAGTTTGTGCCTAGTTTTTCAGTCTTAAGCTCTGAAAATCTTACTAAAATCCACTAAAATCTTACCCTGATGTCTGGTTGTCACATGGAGGCTAGCCTGGGTGCTCAAAAAATTAAAAATCTATGCCTGTGGAGTATAAGCTCCAGTAAGCTAGAAAAGTTTGAAGCACGTGTTCTTTTGATAGAATATGTGTTAGTTATCATTGCATCAGCCTAGCTAAGTTCAGAAAGGCTCATATCAGAAGATTGAAGACATAGTAATTATTTTGGGGAGAGGCACAGAGATTCATAAAGAGCTTTTATTAAGACATAGAGGGCTCACAGATCCTTAAAATCTTATTATTAAAGTAAGTAAATTATTTTAAATATGAATACTTAGCATATAATGTTCAAAGAATAAACAAATTTTAGAGCTGGCAGGGAATTCAATGACCATCTAGTCAAATCTATACTGAAAAGCATCCCCTCTGTAACATACCTAGCAAGTGATCATCCAGCTTTTGATTGAAGACTTTAAGTGAGGAGGGAACTCACTACCTTCCAAGGCAACCCTTTCTAGTCTGGGATAGCTAGAATTGTTACTAAGTTGCTTTTTCCTTAAATCAAGCCTAAATTCACTTCTTTGCCATTTCCACCCATTGTTTCTAGTTTTAAATGTCATGTGTCTACTAAGTATTCCTGTGTGAGTCTTTCAATCAACAAGTACTTCTATGTCATCAACTCACTTAACTTTTGCTTTTGAATTTATTTTGAAAATGAGATATTTCAACGTGATTGAGGAAAAGTTAACAATAACTTTAAAAGAAAATACTGTAATATTTATTTTCAAAGAAATGTATTCACATTAGCAACAATATTCTTATAACACCCATAATCTTCTAAATTGACTTGTTTGATGTCCTTCAAGTTTTTTTCTGAAGATTTAATTTTTAGTTGCTGCTCTTTAAACACTCTCCATTATATTTGAGTCACTGTAATACAATTGATACATTTGTAATAATCTTTCCCAATATCAATATAAGACTGTGTCTGTACAAAGCATCTCTACATTTGCACACTACAATTGCCCATGCCAGGTGGTTCTCTCATTTGGAAGTATGGTCTGGAAGGGAGAAGAAAAAGAGTAAACCAGTGGTGTTGGTGCTGAGGGGTGATTTACTGACTCAAAAGAAGATACTAAATCCTTCAGAAAAAAATACCCTAATTTAATATTGTTCAGAAAAGTTTTAGAGGATAAGGAGTAAAGAGAGTGATCATAGAATTATGGTTCTCAAACTGGAACAGAAATTAAAAGAATTTCTATATTTCTCACAGAGATTTGACCTTGAAACAGAGAACCCAGAGACATCTTGCAATTCATGGTGGTGGGGATTTCTATAGTGACATTGTCCTTGTTCTTTTCACCTTCAGTCACTGAAAAACTCATACTAATTAATTCTTTTGCAGACCTCTTACCTCTTTAAAAAGATTTAATTTAGCAGAAGTGGGCATGCCCAGTAACTAAGGGTCAGGTCTTTCTGGCAAGTCAGAAACTCTGGGAATTATAATCAAAGTTCTCTGACCTAGAAGGAACCTTAAAGGTAATCTACTCACAGAATCATAAGATGGTAGTGGGTGAGACCTTAGACATCAGCTAGTCCAACCCCTTGTTTTGCAGATGAGGAAATAAAGGCTCAGAAAAGAGAAGTCACTTGCCAAAGGTCAAATTGAGATTTACTGACAGAAACTGCACTAGACCCCAGATCTCCTGGTGCCTTCTTTATGCTCTTTTCACTACACCTAACTGTCATTTGGGGATTGAACAGTGTTTAAGAATCTTTTCTGGAAAGGAATCTTGTGCAAATCACCTAAGAGCCCTATCAGCAGATAGGTAGACTTGCTCTAAGGAAACATGAAAAGTGCAAATAAGCATAGATCTGTTTCTCCTGGTACCAAAGCATTTTCTTTGCATACAGGCATGATACAAAAAAAAATCTCCTTGGTTTGTTGTTGTTTTACATAAATCAAAAACAACCACATTCCCTTTTCAATGTGCCAAAGGAAAGGGGGAAAAAATCCATTGCTTGTTGCATAACTGCTCGATATACAATCCTTCCTGGCTGAGTTACAAACACCTTGGCTTCTAAGAGAAGATCTCTTGCCTCTTATCTAGTTAGAACTGGATCTGAACTTTGCAAACCAAATAGGCGGGTAAAGGCAACCCAGTACTGTACAGAGTAATTACCCTACATTGTCTGTAGCAATGAAAATTTGGGTTGTTTAAAAGAATCCTGATCATATAGTCACTAATACTGTGTATCTACTTCCTCCCCCACATTCGGTGAAAGAAGTCATGAAAGCAATTAGAACATTTAATGTGAGTGTACTCTCCCGTAACTGAGTGACTTAGTTTATTTTTGCCACTTTGACTGAATTAGCATAAAGCCATAGGAAAAGGTTTTGCAGTTGCTTCTGCCACAAACCTCCAGTGTGCCTCGCCTTCTTCCAGCCCCAAGGTAGATTTTGGCGTTGTCTGGCTGATCGTTGGCATTGAGCTGGGCGTTCGTGTCAATCCGGCCAATCTGAGGTCTGAGTAGACAGTCTAGAAGGCTTGTTGTCAGTCCCGCTCCTGAAGCCAGGTCTTTGTGTAAACATGTGGCATGAGGTTTCACTAACCAACGCTGTCAGGACCAAGTAGCTGCTCACAAGAGCAGTATTCCTCGGAAAGTCTAGTAACCTAAATTGTTGAGCAGTGGAAGGAATCCGACTCTTGACAACCTCCTCGTCGCCCCTGCTGTCCTTCTCTGCTGCTTCTCTCAAGGTATCCCCCGTTTCTGCTAGAAAGCGTTGCTCTGTGCAGACAGGGAGAAAGCCGCCAGCCAGCCCCTCACCCAAGCAGGAGTGCCTTAATCCATGCCAAGTATGGGTTTTTGCCAAACCCCTTATCTATCAATCATAGGAAAGGCAGGAAGCTTCATCCCAAGGTATTTGCCGAAAGTATCAGGATCGGGTTCAGGAACAACTACAAGGCAAGAAGGAATCGGTTTGCATTGGGTATCGTTATAAAGAAGGAAAAGGGGTAGGGGTTTTTTATTTGTTTTGTTTTGTTTTGCTTTGCTGGGGTAGAGGAGGGAAGGTGGCGGGGGAGAAAGAGACTAGTCCCTCACTCCTCCAGGTTCCTATGAGAGCTACACGCACCGTAATTCCCTCTCCCGGTGCTTCTGATTTACACCAACAATGACATCATGCCGATAGCTGATTACAGTTAGGGGGATTTTCCTTGCCTTGCTCTACTCCTGAGGTTGAGAAATGGAGGAATTCTCCAGGGTGCTGAAACAGAGGGGGAGGGCCAGCTCTGAATCCAACTCTTCCTCCGCCCCCCGCCCCCTGGGAGGCGGGCCAAAGTCTAGCCAGAGGGAGGAGTGGGGCAGGGCTTGCACCTTTCTGCGCTCGGATTGGCTTTTGGCGGGTGCACGTCACGGGGCTGGTGCTCTCCTCTGGTCACTGTTGAATTCTAGATGAGGAGGAGCTGAAAATGCAGATTTAGCATCAAGTACAGCCACACTCTCTCTCCTTCCCCCCTCTCATATACACACATATACACACTCACATACCCTCCAAGGAGCTGGACCATCTGACTTACACGGCCCCAACATCCAAAATCCTGGAGGAAAATACACTCTGATTTTGTTGCCTTCCAAGCTTCCTAGGATCAACCTCTGCCACCCCACCCCCAAGTCTTTTCTTTTAAACTATTTTTTTTAATTTCCACCCTCTTAGATCTGCTCCACCCTAGCCATCACCCACTCCACCTTATCTATCAACCACCTCTTTGCACTTTTACACCCCCAAGAAAGATGCAGGGTGGACGTGTTTCACCCCAGTGGAAGGTTGCTGTGGTCTTGCTCTGTATTATGATTTTTGCATCTGCCGAGAGACCTGTCTTTACTAATCAGTTTTTGGTTGAGTTGCACACGGGGGGAGAGGAAGAAGCCCGTCAAGTTGCTGCAGAACACGGCTTTAGTGGTGTCAGAAAGGTAAGCTCTTCTGTTGCATTTCTCTTATATATAATGTATATTTTTTAAACGGGGGCATACCCTACGCATCTTCATTGCAGATTTACAAGTTCTCTCTCTCTCTCTCTCTCTCTCTCTCTCTCTCTCTCTCTCTCTCTCTCTCTCGCAGATATTGTGTTATCAGCTCTTTAATACGACAGTCTCTTCCTTAATCATATTCACTGGTTATGTAATTAATACGCCCTTCAGATACTACTAAGGTCATGGATTTTTCTTTTTAATGTTGCTTGACTTCTTGATGAAGAAAACGGGACAAGAGTGGGGGATATACCTTTTAAAAACACACCACGCACCTTGACTGATGTCCTAGGTAGCAAGTTACTAAAACTGACTGGAGGAAAGGGGATAGCTTTGACCGGCTTTATGGTTTGCTGCTCCTTAACAGATGTTTCCAGCTGCCTCCACCCCCACCCCCCTCTCGCTAGCCACACACACAGAAAAAAGAAAAAAAAAAATTCCCCGCCCCCACAGAAATAGAAGGCTTTACCAGTTTAGGCGCTCTGCGATTCGTGCCTGTCCCTCTTGGACTCTGCGAAGGGCTTCCCCGCCGGGTGTCAGCACTTACCTACTCATTACCAAGTGTAAACATGCTCTTGCTGAACTCCCAGCTCTAAAATCCGAGATGTACAGACAAGAGATCCTAAAATGAACAGAGATCCCCACTCCTAAGACAGTGACTGACCTAAAGGGCATTGATTGCCAGCCCCACACTAATTGTCACGGTTGGTTGAATTGTTCTCCAGACTCCCTCGCTGGAGTTTTCATCCCACTACTGGGGGAACCGGTGGAATTGCAAGTGAGGGGTGCCCGTGTGCCCATTTATCTTGGGGCGCTGAAGCAGGTGGGGTAAGGAGCACACCTTTTCACATGTGCACCTTCAAAAAGTTAGTTTAGTTTGTCTTCTCGCATGTGGATTTTGTCCACCTCTGGACAGTCATGCGCCTCTCTAGGTTACTACTCTCTACCCTGGGGACTAGCTCCCTGAAAGTTACACGAATTCCAAGCTATTGTTGAGAGAACCCCAGGTGAAAGATACCAACTCGTTGGGTAGGGAAAGGGCGAGGGGAAGGGGACGCAGTGCAGGCCTGCTGACCTGCACCAGCTCCCAGCGGGAACTGCCTTGTCAGGAACCCAACTTGTCCTCAAAAGACCTGGAACGGAGAGGAGCGGGAGGAGGGAGGGAAAGAGCAGCCCAGGCATGATAGGGAGGGCCGCGAGGAAAGGGGACCTGGTCCTGATGCCATGGGCGGGGGGGAGCCTCCAGATCACTGCTTTTTTCAAGGTGGCAAAGTAGCCAACTACTCCTTATTTAACCACCTCCTCAAAGTTGAATAGTGACTCCCTTCCCCCAGCTCCACTGAGGCTGAATTAGAAAAAAAGGGAGTGTAGGTCTCCTGACTTGAAATGGAGTTGGGAAAAGGGGATGTCTGTCTCTGCTGTTTCTTCTTCAGGCTTATAGACATATCAGAAACCAAAAAGTGGAAGCCCAGGTGCTCCAGGATCTTGGACTTTGGGGGGGAGAATAGCTACATCCCTCCCTTCTCAACTTCTCCTGACCCCACCTAGGAAGCCTCAGTGACTGATCTTTGACTCTCCTGCCCCCCATTTTTCCCTTCATTCCTCCTCCTCCTCCTCTTCCTCCCCTCCTCCTCTTCCTCTTCTTCTTCTACTTCTTCTTCTTCTCCTTCTCTCTGTCTCTTTCTATCTCTCTCTCCTTCCCTCCCATCCCTTCTCTCTCTTCCCTTCCCTCTCTCTCTCTTCCCCTCCTTGCCCCCTCTCTCCTCTCTCTCTCTCTCTCTCTCTCTCTCTCTCTCTCTCTCTCTCTCTCTCTCTCTCTGTCTTCCTCTTCTGGGTGTTCTTTTATTTAAGAAGCTATCAGCTCTCTTTCCCAAGAGAGGGTGGGGGAAAGGAGAACTGCTGTCCCTCCTGTCCTGAATGGGTTTGAGCTACAAAAACCTGTTGCTCTGGCAAAGCTGTAGGCAGGAATATAGGAGAGGAAATAGAAGTCCCCTTCCCAAGAGATGTTAATGTACACAATATATCCTTCTCAACTAGGACTTCTGTTCAATTCTAACAGTAACTATTTCACCAGCAGAGATGTGTAGTCACTTCCCCCCTTCTTATCATCAGTGACTTCCCTCTGAAATTATCTTCCATCTACTCTGTGTACATCTTGTATGTACATGTTTGTTTACATATTGTTTCTCCCTCCCCATTAGAATGTGAGCTCCTTGAGGGCAGGGATTGTATTTTTGTTGACCAATGGACTAGTAGCTGTATGGAGGAACTTCCCAGTCCTATAGGCATAGTTGCCCATTCAGCCACTCCTTCACCAAATATTTATTTCACGTGCCTACTGTGTTCAAAGCACCATCCCAGGCAATGGCTATTCAAAGATGAAAGATGACTCAGACTGTTTTCAAGGGAGGTTCCAGTCTTATTATGGATAGGAAGGGTGTGGGTGTGTAGGGGAAAGACAGAGACAAAGACAGAGACACACATACACAAAGACAGAAACAGAGAGGGAAAGAGAAAGAGTAAGAGAGACATACACAGATACAGGCACACAGACAGAGAAGGAGACAGACAGACAGACAGGCACACAGAGACAGAGAAAGCAGAGACACAGAGTGGAGAAATAATACAAGACAAGGGTAGGAGCAAAGGAGAGATCCATAAAAGGTGATTTAAATTTGAAGAGGGAGAGATCACTTTCAGTTTCAAGAATGAGGGAAGGCTTCACAGAAGAGATGAAATCCAAACTGGGCCTTGAAAGCAGAGAAGAATTTCAACCAGCAAAGATTTAGAGGTAGGGCCTTCCAGTCATGGAAGAAGGCTTTCAATAATGCCACAAACAACTAGTAGTTCAGTTTGCTTGCAGTGTACAGAAAGGGGAAGTCATGTGAGATAAGCCAGAAAAGTGCAAGACACAGCTCAGTACTTTCCCCTTTCAGTTGAATCCTGGAGGTTATGTTGTAAATGAACCTGATCCATTTAGAGTGAGCTTTCCTCCTCGGTACTCCCATCCTTCAGAAGATCCTTACTTCCTTAGAGCTTGAAAACAATCCACCCCTTCTCATCCTGCCTGATGTTTGTGCAATCCTCCTACAAATCCTTGGCAGAGGATCTAACCAAGGTGCTGAAGGCCTTCCTTTCCTTCTCTTAACTTTTCTGTGGGTTCTAGTGCAACCTTGCTCCGGCACATACTGACTGACCCAACTTCTTTTACCCATCATATATTTTCTAAATAACATCTGAGGAGTAATTTATGTGAAATGCAGAAACTCTATGTCCCCAACTTTATAATTCAGTAGGAGTTCCTTGAGAAAGCTAAAAACATCTCTCAAGCCAGTGTCTTGCAACCCACTACTGCCGGAGTCCTTGAGATCTTGGAGCTCTGTTTATTGACCACCTGAAGAAGACAACTGGAATGATTGCCAAAAGAGACAAGAATCTTAATCCCATTTCTTTCATGAAATTGCTATATGACTCCGAGCAGTCCTTCCTTGGGCCTATTTCCACATATCTAAAACAAAGCAGCCTGACTAGAGGACCCATCTCCATGGTCCCTTTCAGATCCAAAATTTTATCTACACTAGGCAAAATTATGGAGTAAGAAAAAGCTTCTCTTTGGGAGGGAGTGTGGGGCAGCAGAGAGAACACTGCTGTAGGGGCAGAGGGCCTAGGTTCAAGTCATGGCCTTGTTACCTACTACCTTGAGCAAGTTACCTTGGGCAAGTGATTTACCTTCTCTGGATCTTAGTTTTATCATGTGTAAAATTGGGGAATTGAACTTAACTTACCCTTTAAGGTCCCTTCCAGCTCTAAAACTATGATCTTTTCATTGGAAGAGATCTTCTAGGTCTCCCCCCACCCCAATTATCACCTCTGCAAATCTAGCTAAAGCAACAACTTGATACTATATTAAGACACAGTGTCTGGCACATAGTAAATGGTAAATATGCTATATATCTTTTATCAATTATTCTCACCTCACCTACTATTATAGGCTCTCCTTTGCTTTCATAACTAAATTTCTAGTAGAGATCCCATAAAATCATGCACACTGAGGTAAAAGTGACTAAGATCAATCAAATTATTAATATTAATTATAATTATAATATTAATTATAATCAAACTCTCTTGAGGTATTTAACATTTTCATAAGGGACAAAGCTTCAGCTCAAAGGAACTGCCTCCTCTAATAATGGAATTTCAGGTTTCTGGGATTAGCTGAGGGGATTTCTTGGTGCCTACTCAAGTAACTTTAGGAAAGTAAAGGTGGATCCCCCAAGGCATGACCTGGTGTTACTACCCATAGGAGAGATGGCACTAAATTCTCCTCTGCAAACAAGTGAAAAATTGAAAATAAATCCAACCAAAGGAACTGATGGTTTTGACACCTGTGTGTTACCTGGAGAAAAACCCTCAAGAGGCAGCTTAGTGACATAGTATATAAGACTACTGGGCCTGGAATCAGGAATAACTGGGTTCAGATCCAGCCTTACCCACTTACTGGCTTCATGACCCTGGGACCCTGGGCAAGTCATTTAACCTCTGCCTGCCTCATTTCTCAACTATAAAACAGTATCATAGTAAAACCTATCTCTCAGGGTTGTTGTGAAAATTGAATGAGATAATATTTGTAAAGCACTTAGCACAGTGCCTAGCACACAGTAGGTACTGAATAAATACTTGTTCTCTTCCCTCTTTTGCAGCACACCTGGGACTCCAGCCACCAACAATTACCCTCTAATTTTTCAGACTTTTTCTTGGTCAAATCCATTTGCCACCTACATGTACTTGAGCCTCCTCCACTCTTAGTAACATACTAATTGCCCTTGCAATTTTTGACATTATGCCTTTGCTAATGCTATTCTTGCTTCCTAAAATACTCTCCCTCTTTTCCTCCACCAGTTGATATTATACACATCCTTGAAGGCCCAACAAAAGTTTCATTA